ACCACGGAGCCACGATGTGGGGGGGGGGGCAGGGCTGCATGTGAAGCAACTGGTATCATAAGACTTTGCCTCTGCGCTCTCAGGGTACTTGAATAATCCTCACGCCTGGGAGTAGCATCTCCTGGAAGCTTCCAGAAGACAGCAGAGCCAACAAAGCCTCCTGGAGCAACCTCCGGGAGCAACCCAGTTGCGGCTGCCCACCTGGGGGGAGGGAGCCACACTGGCGGCCTGGCCAGTGGCCCCATCACCACGCGGCGCCAACGCCCTCTGCTGGAGGAACGGGCCGGCAGCGCCTGCCTTTCTTTACGCCTCCAGGAGAGCCCTGGGTGGGGGGGACCGGCTGTCATTGTGGGGTGGAGGGCAGTGACTTTTACTTTGAAAACGCATTTGTCCCTCAGGTCCTTTAGGGAGTGCACGGGGAGGAGAAGTCGGAGTCTCACTCTGTCCTCGTCTGAGGCCAAGCCGGGGGATGGCACCCTTTTTTTGGTAATTATTTTTGGAAACGAGGCCTCACTCTGTCGCCCAGGCTGAAGTGCAGTGGCAAGCTCCCTGCAGCCTCCAACTCCTGGCCTCAAGCGCTCTTCCCACCTCAGCCTCCGGGTATCTAGGACCACAGGGGGATGCCACTGTGCTCAGCTGGGACAGGGTCTTTCAATCCCCACACCCATTGCCCCTCCTCAGCCATCCCCAGTCCTCCCTCTGGTCCCGTGCGAAGGTCGCCTTGGAATGCTCATGAGGCCAGAAAGCATCTACTCCCTGCGTCTTCCGGGCCCCCGTAGTGACCAGGCACGTCCGTGAGGCCAGAATCCCACAGACCCCGTCCTGTCTGCTGTCCTGGGGTGTCTGCGGCCCATCTGACAGCAAACAGTGGACGCAGGTGCCCTCTAGTGGGAGCCCGGTGCCACGTGGCCGGGCGCAGCCTCCCTGTGCCAGGACCCAGGGGCCACTTGGGAAAGGGCGACAAAGCACAGGGCTGGCCCGTGCACACCGCTGCTGCCAACGTCAGCCCCTACTTATGCGGGGTTCACGTGCACATGACCAAAATGCCACGGTGGCTTCTGGGTCCCCAGGCCGCAGCCTGAGCCCCAGGACCCAAATGAGTCCATACCGCCTCAGGGTCCGCAGCCTCCCTGGGCAGAGTTTGTGGGGGGTAACGCCAGCCTCCACTCCTGCAGGCTGCAGGCGTGTGGGCGCCGTGGAGCCTGGCTGTTGGCTGTCCTGTCCCAGCACACCTGCTCCTTGCACTCTGGGCACCCATGAGAGGGGCAGGGCCTGGGGACAGTGGGCACCACTAGCGTCGCCCGTACACCCCCCAACTGCCAACACCTCTTGCGAGTGTAGAACCATAGCGGGGGCTCCTGGGGATGCAGGTGTAAGCTGCCCTGAGCCCAAGTCCCAGGCCCTGAGACCAGCCCTGCGGGGATACTCGCCTGGACTCACCACCCATGTGGAATACAGCCAGGCAGGACGGCCAGGGACAGGGTCCTCGACTGAGCAGGCACTTGGGGTCATCGTGTGACCCCCAGCCAAGGCACCACCTCCAGGATACTTGCGGTGACAGGCACCCACGTGGAACTCCCCGTGAGAGACAGTCCAGCGATCTGTGGCAGGCAGGTAGCCCAGGGGCCACGAGGACCCCTGTTCTGTTCTCAGACTCATCCAAGCCCCAACATGGGGACTATGTCCACGGAGACCTGGCCTGGACAAGGAGCAGTGCTTGTCCGAGCATTCACCGCCCTAGGGCTGTAGCCCGTGACCTGTGCGCGTGTGTCATGCTCCTCAACATGGCGCTTCTTGGGGAGCCGAGTGTCACACATGTCTCTCTCTGTGGCTGGAGGAGACAGCTTCCCGAGGTCGGTCATGCAAACAGGTGAGAGAAGAGGGAAGCCCAGCAGGTACGCCGGCTATTCGAGAAGCAGCCATGGCCCCCTCGCCAGCCCTTTCACTCCCCCTCCAGCTTCCCAACCCCCACTAGCTCCTGCAGCTGGGCAGGGCCAGGCGACCAGTGCTGTCCCGTGGGCTGTGCGTGGAAGTGACACTCGTGGGCTGTGGCATTTAGGCCCCAGGGCATGACCCCCAGGTCTCTCAGGCAGTCCCTACCAGGCAGTCTGGGGGCCTGGAGCTGAGGGCCAGGGTACAGAACGGACTCAGTGGACCTTGAGTGCCCAGGAGCTGCCCAGAGGCCAGCTGGGGCCCCTGAGCTTCAGGAAGCTGGAAGGAAAGCTGCATGAAGCCACTGAGACCTGGAGGCCATTTAGTGTCATGGCCCGTAGTCTCCCAACACAGGAGATGATAGCAAGAAAAAGTTTGTCCTCGATCAACAGTGCCAGGGCACAGGTGGGGGCTTGGCTAGGTCTGCTGGTCGGGACTCAATGCATGGGCAAGGGATGGACCCAGGCAGAGACGGAATCCTGCCTTTCTGGAAGCTCCCAACACCGCATCCACACACCCAGGAGGGCATTTCTCAAGGCACCGGGGACTGTGGTCACAAAGCTGGATGGGGGTACCTGGCCACAGCCTTGGGTACCTGGGTGAACACAGGGGGCTGGCCACAGCCTCGGGTGCGGGGTGACTGCCACAGAGACCCACAGGCCCGCCACGTGTGGGCTCTGTCCTCAGGCCTCCCGGGAGGGAGTGCAGGTGATCTTCCTGACACCCTACAGTGGAGCACGGCTGTCCCCTTACTGTGCCAGAAGGAAACTGAGGCAACTCTTGCCACAAGAGGCCCTGCCAGGTCTTCCTCTCTGTGACGGGATGGGACTCCCACACCCCCTCACCCATACTCCCTGGCTGCCCACACTCCCACGCCCTCCCCACTGCATGTCTACACTGCGTGCTATCATCTCTGCTGACCTGCCTGGACACGCTCTCGACACAAAGCCTGTGCCCTCAATGTCCTAACGCGCTTCTCCAAGCTGAGGATGCTTGCTTACATGGCCGTCCCATGGCCTTCAAGCAGGAAGCTGACATCCTGCAGAATGAACCTGCTGACCTCACATGGCCTCAGCCGTGTTTGCGGCCTCCCATCCCCACCACCCAAGTGCTTCCTCTGTCCCCGTCCTCCTCGTCAAGCAATTCTAGAGACGGGTCCTCACCCCCGTCTCCTCAGGACCAGACTCAGGCTGTGCTCCTCAGAAGGAGACAGAACGCATTGGGGTCCCTCAGTGCACACGGTATCCCCTCGACCCTCCACTCGGGGTGTCGGCCATGACCTTCTGGTCAGGCTGGGGCCTGTCAGTTTTCTCCGCCCTGATGTCACCATGCTTCCCTTTCTGTTGAGGTGACCTCGACGTGTGCCTCAGTCTACCACCCAGAGACAGGGAGGGGAGGCCAGATCCTAGTGGTTCCAATGCATTGAATTGAGAAGACAGGGTTCAAAATCCAGGGAGTCCCAGGTAACTCGGAGTTGCAAGGCAGGGCTCGAGATAGGAGAGAACCTATGGAGAGCAAATCCAGAAATCTGGGGGCCGGAGTCCTTAGCTGGACATGCATTTGTGTATGAGGGTGAGGACATTCCAAGGCTGCTGAAAAGCCTGGAAGGAGCAGATGAAAGAACCCCTGGATCACTCAGGGCTGGTGTGCCCTCACACGGGGCTCTGGGCAGGGGTCTCGGAGGGCATGGACTCGGCTGTGGGTGACATCTACCCTGAGGTCTCTAGCCCCAGCAAAGCTCTCTAGCAAGTCTTGAGAGACTCAAAGTGTTTCTAAGTGACTTCACTGCGCTCCAGAACAAAGCCCAGAACACTGACAGGAATGAAAAGAAATTCAGCACCCCATGACGTCTTGCTTGGAACCTCTAGCACCTACTATAAAGTGACCAGGTGGGCAGTGAGTCCTGTGGCTGCAGCCAGGAGAAAAACCAACTGGGAGAAATGACCAGTGTGGCACGGGTGACAGTGGGCTGGGGACGCTGAACAGCCACCAGAATAGGCCCCGTGGCTCCCAAAGACAGAAGGCACCAGAAACTGGTGTCACAAAGGAAAAACCACCTGGAGACTCTGGAGACGAAAACGTCAGTGTCTGAAAAGAAAAGTGTGCTCAAGGGTCACGGGGTCCACGCAGCCAGGCTGTGAGTTGGAGATTACGGCGGCAGCAGCGCCACACGGGGAGGGAAAACAGGGCGGCCAAAAACGGGCAGGCTGTGGCAGGGACATGGCGGCGCCCAGCACACGTGGGGGCGGTGGGGGGAACCTGGGACTGTGGAGGGAGGAGGGGCCGCTGTCTCTCAGATGCCCGACAAGAACCCACAGATCCAGGAAGCTCCGTGTGTGGGCAGGAAACCATGAGATCCACGCAGGGCACCCCAAGCCAGTGTGGGAGCCGGGCCTGCACGCCTGGCCCTCGGTCGCCACCAGGCCCACGCGCAGACGGACGGCGAGCAACAAGGAAGGACACCGGGAGACGCTGCATGCGGGGCTGCCCGCACCAGGATGCGGGACGTGGGGAAGGGCCGTGGTGGACAGGAACGGCTAAGTCACCACAGGAACCCTGCTCTCCCGCAGGCCCGGCCCACCCGTAGAGCGGCCAAGTTCCTACTGTCCCCACCCGGAGCCTGTGCCCCCAGCTTGAGATCCTGGCTCACCACATCTCTGCTGAATGAACCTGCTTTGTCCTGGGGCCACCCGGCTCCCAAGAGAGGCCCATCGGTGACAAAACCCCGAGCACAGCAGGCGCCAGAGCAGAGGGACTGCACTCTTCACAGGTCTGAAAACCCCTAATCCCGCTGGGAGCTGCAGCCCTCCCACCCTGCCCCATGTCACCGGACGCCTCACCACGGGCTGGACACAGCTAGGTTCCTGAGCGGCCCTCTTCGTGCCAGGGGACGTCGGGCCTGCCACCAGGCTGGCCACATCACAGCAACGGTGGTCACACACACTGTTGCAGCGGGACACCTGGGCCGTGTCAGGCACCCCCTCCCCCACCCATGGCTGCGGTGCACGCGGCTCACTGGACGCTGGGACTCAGGTCGAGCGGGTGTGGTGAGTCTGCCCTGCACCCACCTGCCAGACTGGGAGGACCTTCTCGATGTCGGTCAGGTTGATGCCAGCTCCGTCTTCCGGCTTCCCTTTGCCGCACCTGGACCAGGAGAGGCAGAGACACAGGCGTTGGGATGGTGGCTCGCTTGGGTCCCCACTTGGCAGGCTAAGGGGGAGGCATGGCCAGCACAGGCCCTGCAGAGTCCGTTGTCCAGCCAGGGGAGCCCGCCGGAGCACCCACCATCCTCACTCCCTGCCTTGCCGTGGAGCCGGGCCTGGGAAACGGCCCTGCTTGGCCTTCCATGTCCTGCCTTGTGGGGGGAGGCCCTAGAAACCTGGCAGGGCTGAGATGGCTGACCTTCCCTGCCACTCGAAGAGTGGACAGTCCCTCTGCTCCAGGTGCCAGCTCTGCCCTCATGCCCTGGGCCGGGCAGGGGCCATGGCAGGGGAGGGCTGCTGTCCTGGAGGCCTGGGGTTGGGGCAGAGGTGGAAGCGAACAAGCTGGGCTGCGAGTGCAACAGCCTCCCGTCTCTGTCTCCCCTGGAGACCAGGCTGTGGGGGGCCTTGGCAACCGAGGGGTGCCCTGCTTCCCGGGAGGCAGCTGTGAGGGGTGTACGGGCCTGTCCCAGCCAGGGGTGGGCTCTGAAGGGGACACGGCTCCCGGCTTGCCACCAGGCAGCCACAGGACACTGTGTCCAGACTCCCCAGGAAGTCGTGAATAACAGACTCTGGCCAGAGAGTCCGTGTCCCCCGGGCTGCCTTCAGTAAATCTCAGGCTCCCGGTGAGCAGGTGAGCCTGGCCGAGGAGCACAGCCTGTGGGGATGCGGGCATGCCGTGACTCTCGCTTCAGAAGGGGCCACGCCTGGCACTGGGGGTCACTCGTCACCACTGCACAGCAGCGGTGTGCTGGAACTGAGGAGTCTCAGGGCTGCGGTACAGACGTCTTGGGATGCCGGCCTCACAGCAACTCCAGTTGGATGCTGTCGTCAGAGGCAGAGCTGGCTGGTCCACGCCCTGGGCCTCAGTTTCCCCACTGTGTTCCAGCGCTGTGCTCCCGGGGGAAGCGGGACAAGCCAGTCCCTCCCGGAGCCTCCTGTGGGCTGCAGCCCAGGTGCTCTCTCCTGTCCCGTTGCCTTTGCTTCCTTGACCCAACCTCCACTTGACACTGGCCCCTCCCATGTCTATACCCGCAGCTGGCACATCTCCTCCTCCCAGCAGACTGGACAGGGACCACACTGTATATTCTGTGTGCTCATGTGTACACGCATGCATGTTCATATGTGTGTGCATGTGTGCACATGTATGCATCCATGTACATGTGTGCATCTGTGTGCATGTGTGCACACGTATTTTCCCCATGGCACCCAGCACCCTGTGGGGACCTGGCAGGCCTGGCAACATCTTGGCCACGCTGGTGTGAGGAGCCAAGTCCTGCCTGCCCCTGGCACACCCAAGCTCCAACCCCCTCCCGCACCTGGGCAGGGCAAGGCCCATAGCTGCTGAGAACCATCCAGAACTCCCCTGGCGAGAGACAGGAGCGGGCTGGCGAGGGTTGGGTGGAAAACAAGGCTGTTGGTGCAATCATAAACATGGACCGACAGACGGGAGGGGCACTGCGGGGTGGGGAGACCGGCGCCCTCACGCCCTGCAAGCGGGAAGCCCTCCAAAGGTAAACAGGACTGCATGTGGCCCGGCAGTCCCATGCCTAGTACGTGCCAAAGAACTAAAAGCGAGGACTCAGATGCCTGTACACGGATGTTCACAGCAGCAAAAGGTGGAGCCACTGGGTGCACTGAGGGGAGAAGACAGAGCACACCGTGGGCATCCACCCGTGGAATATGACACAGCCATGAAAAGGAGCACATGTGACAACACAGGTGAGCCTCAAAAACATGACACAGGCCGGGCGCGGGGGCTCACATCTATCATCCCTGCACTCTGAGAGGCCAAAGGGGGAGGACTGCTTGAGCCCAGGAGTTGGAGACCAGCCTGGGCAACACAGCAAGACCTTGTCTCTACAAACAATTAAAAAATTAGCAGGCTTGGTGGCACGTGCCTGTAATCCCAGCTCCTCGGGAGGCTGAGGCGGCGGAAGGGTCACCTGAGCCCAGAAGGTCAAGGCTGTGGGGAGCTGTGATCCAGCCTAGGCGACAGAGTGAGACCCCACCTCAAACATCACAGCAAACCACGATGCCCAGGGAAGGAAGCCGGACACGAAGGTCACATCCGACCCATTGCTACATGTGTCTCGAAGAGGCACAGCTGCAGAAATGCAAAGCAGACGGTGGTTGCCAGGGTGGGAGTGGGGGAACGTGAGAGGTGGGGGGTGATGGCTACGAGGGCCCAGGGCTTTATGCTGGGGTGAGAAAAGGTGCTAGGACCAGATGGTGGTGAGACCACACGGTGAATGTGCTACGGCCGCTGACCTGCACGCTTCAAAATGGCTCATTTCGCGGGATGCGAATTTGGCCTCAGTGAAAGTCACTTAAATCAATAAAGCAGTCGCAGCCATTTGTTGCACCCTACGGTGGTGGGGCCGCTCCTGTCCGGGGGCAGCCCCTACCCCGGTGCCACCTTTGAAAGACACCCAGCAGGCGAGGGTGACGGCCGGGGCGAGCCTGGCGTGGAATCGCCTCACCCTGGTGGCTCCCCGGGCCCACGCCCACATCCCCTGGTAGGGCTGGGAGACTTGCGGATCCTTGCCCGGCACCCCAAGTCTGGCTCTGGGGGGGGCCCAGCCCTCTGGACTTTCACAAGCCCTGGGTGATTCTGACGTGGGTTCCAGAGTAAGACCCAGGGACTGGGGCCCTGACCCGCGGGCACTGTCAGGTGAGGGCTGCGGGGACTGGAGGGCCGGGCGCCAGGGCAGAGGAGACGCCACGAGCCTGCGTTCTGGTTGAAACGGGAGAGCAACCTGGGACATGGCCACCAGACCCCAGCCTTCCCCACTGGTGGGAGAGCCCTACCACGCCCTGGGAGAGCCCCACCCTCTCGCAGGAGAGCCCGCTCTTACCCTTCCCGGTCGATGTGCGGCAGGGACTGCTTGGGGGTGTGCCGGAGTTTCCGGTGGAACTGGGTGAAGTCCAGCTTTTCAGGCTGCAGGTCCCACGTGGCACCACTAGAGGGCGAGGGAGGGCAAGTGACGTGGGGTGAGGGGCCACAGGTCTGGTCCCCGACAGGCCACTGGCGGGGCCACGGCTTGGGCTGAGCCCGGAGAGCGGGACCAGGCGGAGGCCAGGTGGGGCCCGCACCAAAGGGGCCCTGAGAGCCCAGCCCTCCCCTCCTCAGCCCATACAAGCCTGATGCCCACTCAGAGCGCCCAGCCTCGCCTAGGTGTGTTCACACCCACGGGTGGAGGCTGGGGAGCAGGGCTGTGCCTAGGGTCCCTGACCAAGGGACTCGAGGATGACCAAGCCTCGCATGGGTGAACGGGGAAAGGGCGGAGCCAAGCTCTGACCAGCCCAGACCCCGGAGACTGTCCACACAGGTGATACCACCATCAAGCCCTCCAAGGCCACCATCCTTGTCCTGAGGAGCCCTGGCTGACACCTGAGGCCCGCAGGAACCTTCTAGAGCCCGACTCACTGTGGCCCCAGCTTCTTCCAGCCTCTATGCAACCAGTCCCTCCTCCCATGACTCTCCGGAAGGAGGGGTGAGGTCTGCAGCCTCAGCTTCTGCCACCCGCCATGGGCCACTGACCACCTGCCACGGGCCACTGACTGTATGCTTCCAACTCCCAGCCCCTCCCCTCTGCTGACGCCCCCTCTCTCCCCGCTACCTCCTCCCTTCCCTTCTCCCTCTGACCCTCATCTTCTGCCGCATCCCTTCCATGTCCCTCCTCTTCTCACTGGGCAAACCCGCATGCCGCAGGGAATCTGCGGGAAGGGAGGAGAGGTACCTGAAGGAGTCGAAGGTGTTGGCGGCCCAGATGTCTGTGCCCAGCATGTCCAAGGGGCTGTCTTTGCCACCGTTCTGCAAGAGGCAGGGTCAGAGGGCCGGTATCATTTGCTCAGCCAGGAGGCAGGGCCTCGCCGCCTCCCTGTGGGCTATCCTGGGCAGCTGGGAGCCAGGGCCAGCTCCACACCATTCCCTGACCTTGCACCCAGTGTACTCAGTGGGAGTGGGGGACGGAGCCAGAGCCATGGCCAGCCCGGCACAGGCCCTGGTGCTGACATTTGTGGAGAGGCGGGGGCAGGGCTGGGGCATGGCCTCCCCAGAAGCCCCCACCGACCCCACCAGTGCCTGGCTCTCCCTGGCCAGCCCACTCTGGTGGAGGACCCCGTAGGACCCTGCCTCGAGGCGGCGCTCCATGCCCGATGCAGCTGCTGGGGTTGGCGAGTCTGGCCTCTGGCCGGTGGTCTCCCTGGCAAGCCTCCAGCCCCGACCTCACCTGCAGCCCTCCAGCCCTCTGTACCCAGGCTGGTCTCTACCACCACCTCTGCAGCCACCACGCTAGGCATGCACGCCCACAACCCAGGAGGTCACACCCAGGTGTACACCAAAAGCCAGGGGCAGGCGGGTTCAGAGTAGCCCATCATGGCTGCTCCACGCCAGAAGCCACACTGACGCCATCCACAGGTGCCGGTAGATAATTATGCTGTGTCCATACAGCAGCAAGAACCAGCACGTCAAAACCACAGGCAGCAGGATCATAGACTTCATGGACACGCTGTGGGACAGGTGACTCCAGACACAGGCGTGTCGGTCACACACCTCGATTCATCTTGAGTTCAAGAGCAGGCCGACCGCACTGTGGTGCGGGAAGCCAGATGGAAGCTGGAGGGACACCATGATATTGCAGAGGGAGGGAGCTGCTGGCTTTCCATGACAGGGCCCATGCCGGGTGCACCATGCTACTGGCCACTGGGCTGCAGAGGGAGAACCAGGGCTTCGGCCTCTGTGCAAGAAGGTGGAAAAGCCAGCCAGGGTGGAGGCAGTTGTTTCTGGAAGGCCCCAGACCTTCGCCCAAGGAGTCAGGATCCTGGGAGCAGTGAGTGAAGATGATAATGGCAGACTGACCCAGCACCCAAGGGACTGCACTGTCCTCACAACGCCGAGAAGGACCACATGCTGTGGGAACAACTCCACGCTCCTGGCACGGGATGGACGCACAGTACGAGGGGAACCCGTGAGTGTACAGGCTGCATGTTGAGAAACCAGCCAGGCTGCAGGGACAGGGACGGCAGGGGCTGCCCTGCCACTGGGAGGGTCCCAGGTGAACTTCCAGCATGTCTGCTGCGGCAGGTGATGCCCGGGCGAGCAGCCCTCAGCCTGAGACCCAGGAGCGCATTCCCTCGGTCAGGGAGCAGTTGGGCCTGGGCACTGGAGAGAAAAAGGAGGTATGGCCTTCTCCTCACAGGGCCCTGGACCCTGGCCCACACCCCCTGGGTGTGGGATGTCCCTCTGACTTCCATCATGAGGGCCGAAGGTAGGCCTCACCCTCGCGTGGACTCTCACCTCACAGACGCAGGGTCCTTGGGGAGCTTGCGGGAGGGCTTCCCTCCAGACACTAGAAAAGCCCCCTCTTTCCTCCAGAGGACGTCCCCCCTACTCCTGCCTCCAGCTCTCATCCCCGCCCATCCATGAGGCACTGGCACGGAGCCAGCGCCGGTGGGCCCGAGGGGCCTGGGGCTCCAGTGTCTTCCGGTGGGCCGGTGTGGAGCAGCAACTGCCCACGTGTTTCTGTGTCCGGGGCCTTCCTGTCTTGTCCTTCCCCTCCTGGCCCTCTGTTGGGAGCGGGCTCCGATCAGAACTTTTCTCTCTGTGTTTGTGGGTGCTTCAGATCACCAGTTCTTTACGCCAAGTCTGGGACGGACCAGCCAAAGGGAACCGGCCCCCAGTGCCGCCCATTCCCTGGGCCCTGGCCCGCCACCAGCCCTCTCACAGACTCCATGCACGGCGCCCGGGTCTCAGCTGAACCAGCAGGGGGAATCCGGAAAAAAATCTCCATTCTCCCAGAAGCAGAAGCCTCGGGCAGTGTTTTCAACAAGACACTTCAGTCCAGTTCAACTTTCACTTTATGGAGGCGAAACCGAGGCTGAGCAAGATGACAGTTCTCATCCAAGATCAAACAGCACATCAGAGGCACGGCCAAGACCAGAACTGCGTGTCCTGGTTCCCGGCACAGGGCCGCTCCCAAGCAGCATGGCGCCTCCCCGCCCGTGCATCTGCACCGCCCCCAAAGAACATAGCCCGCCCCCATGCACACACATATGGCACCTTCCCCTGGAGAGAGTCGGACTTTCCTAAGCAGACTCCAGGCTCCCCAGGGCAGAGACCAGGCCACGTGGTTTGCACTGTACACAGCAAGTGCCCAGTGCTTGCTGCAGCTCAGTCTCCCTGCAAAAGTCAGCCGCCAGTATTGTTTAGTAAGTGCTGCCTCCCACTTCTCCGAGTGAGCTAAAGCCAGAAGACCCCTCAAGGACAGAGACAGATGGCACATTCTGCAAAAGAGGCTCGCTGGCAGGGGAGCAGGGTGTGCCGCGCTCGGCTCTGGGCAGCATGTCGGAAGGAAGTGCAGAGCCCTCGCAGCGCCTGGAGGGTGACCCGAGCCGGCCTGAGGACCGTCGTGTCGCACCTGAGTTAGTGTCATGGCTCACACCCCTGCCCTCCCAGCGCCACTGCCCCCATCCGCACCCAGGGCCCAGCCTGGGACCTTCATCCCCAGGGATAGCCCATGGCCACCACAGGTGAAAGGGCAAATGAGTCGACAAAGGAAGGAGCCAGCCCAGCAGAGGGCACTCCTCACGCGAGACCGGGATTCAGTCCCCAGAAGTCTGCAGGCCAGGCAAGGAGTAGGACCAAACCAGTTGCTGGAGGGTCGGGTGGATCGGAGAAAGCGCTCGCCGGAGGGCCACAGCCTCAGATGTTCTGAGACACCTTCCAGGTAGAGCTCCCCTAACGCCCCAGGGTCCTGCACCACAAGGCGGGAGCTGGGCTGGGTGCTCTCTGTGGGTCCAGTGTGTGGGCCCAGGTGTCTTAGACTTCACCGCAGACCTCGGGCACCAGTGGACAGGGATTGTTGAGGATCATAAACCGTCCCCCAGAATGGAGGCCCAGCAGCGAGTCTTCCTCTGGCCTCCCCTGCCCATCTGTCTGTCTCGGGCCCCTCACCCTCCCCGAGGCACCATGGAAACCAGATCCCCAAGGCGGGTCCTGGAACCAGACCAGAACCCCAAACGGCCACAAAGACTGAAGCTATGAGGGAGACCCCCAAAAGCCTGGAATTACCCTTTGGAGTGAGGGCCCCTTGTAGGATGGGCCTCCCCCACTAGGTGAGTGTTCTAGGAATCCATCAGCATCTGTGGACCAGCGGGCGTTGCTGTGTGAGGCTGCGTTCAGCTTCAGTGAATTTTCTGGAGGTTCTTTTAATGTGTCCATTTCATGATTGGTGACTTACGAGCACACCTGCCCATGCTGTGCTGAGTGTTCAGCATTTTGGACCCTAAATGGCAGGACCCCGTGCCCCCCCCATTCACTCAATCTCGCCCCAAGCGACTTTGTTGTTTGTTTGTTTTCTTGGATAAAGAAAGTCCTCAAAGGAAAATGTTCTGCTGATGTGGAAGAGGTGAAGCAAAAAACGGCAGAAGTACTGAAAAGCATCCCCATGGGCGAGCGCAAAAACTGTTTCGAGCAGTAGAAAAAGCATCTCGACGGGTGTATTGCATCCAACGGAGAGGTCTTTGAAGGAGATTGAAGTTTAAACATGTGAGAATAAGGACACTGTTTTTTATGAGTAAACCCCATTTTTCTTGGACCCCCTTCCTATGACTCCAACTCCTCCCGCCTTCCCGTGTAGAAACTGGCCATCGAGAAGTGACCTGGCCTCACTTGTCTGATGTGGGCCGTGGGACCCGGGTCTTGAGAGGGTCCTGTCCCACGCCCAGAGGGAAGGACGCCACTCAGAAAGGCCAAGGAGCATCAGACAGATAGGCCTGGGCTCCCCCTCAGCCTGTGAGCACACGGCCCACCCGTTCTTGTCCAGCCCTGCTCCTACGTAGCTGCCATGCTCTGTCAAACCTCAGCATAAAAACGGATGGCCCCCACAGCAGCTCCAGTCTCCTAGGCTCCATGGACCCGTGCTGATAAGCGCATCTGCCTTTTGCGAGCCTTCGGAGGCTCCCCGTGGCCCCTCAAGTCCAGGACTTGAATGCCACCAGGGCTGGATGCGGGGAGCGGGGGAAGAGTGGGTCCAGCCTCGGTGACATCCCCTGGAGCCAGGCATGCGGTGGCCACTCTAGCCAGGCTCCAAGCAGTTAGTTCTGCCTCTCCGTTATAGTCCAGAGGAGAATGGCGCTTCTCAGTGAGCTCTCAGAAGAGGCCTGTGACCTACTCCGGGGCGACCAGGTGAGAGGGACGCATGTTGCTCTCGGGCTGGGCATCGAGCGGCCCACACATGATCCCCAGAGTGCTCTCTCCTCCGCGGATGACTGGAAACATGCGCCCGTTCCCACAGGCCAGGCTCGGGCTGTCCAAGTTCCTGGGATCTGGCCTGGTTTGTTACAGCAGCGTTACCCAGGCTGTCCTGACTGACTTGGGGGACGGACGTGGCTTATGGAACAACTGCAAGACACACAGCTCACAGGACACACAGGGTGGGGTGACGGCTCTCCTGCATCTCAGCCCGGTACATGGAGCCCTCTGACTCCCTCAGGAATCACCCAACATGATCCCCCCACTGGCTGCCTCTCTCCTGACGCCCGACACATGCTGACTCAGTTCCACCGCTGTCACGTCTGGTGGTTTTGGTGGGTAGGTATACACAACACGCTGCTGAAGGGAAACCTCGCGAGCTTAACCGTGGCAGGGAACCAGGAGGGACTTCCAGGGGGCGGAGCTCCCCATCCTCCTGCCATCTCCAGATCACCGCCCCCAGGAGCCACCGCGGGCTGTGACAGACCTGGCAGCCAGACAGACGTGGGGCCAGTTTCTTACCTGCTGCGGGGGGGCTCGTCCTCGGGGGAAGGGGCTGCTGTCCAGCGGCTCGGCGCAGTCCGTCGTCCACTACAGGGCAGGAAGGAGCATCAGTGACAGCAGGACAGCCAGACCTATCCTCACCCTGCACCCCCTGCAATCTCCTTCTGTGGGGTGCCCCCTCCCATGGGGTGCTCCCACAGAGACGCCCCCTCCACGGGGTGCTCCCTTCCACAGGTGTGCTCCCTCCCACAGGAGCGCCAGTGTGAAGTCTCCTCAACCACGTTCAAGGGCAAGTCCTTCTTACCACCAGGCCCAGGCTAGCCTCTCCCAACCCTCCTCAAGGAAGGCGGCTGGCACCTCACCTGAGCCCACTATAGAGGGATGGGCCCTGCCCCAAGGCCAGCCAGACACCACCACGGCCTAGTCTGAGTTGGGACGACTCAGAAGGACCCTTTGGAGACACACAGTGACACATCTGAGTCTCCAGGTAAGAGCTTTGCACCCATGCTAGTCTTTTTTTTTTTTTTTGAGTCAGAGTCTTACTCTGGAGTGCGGTGGCACAATCACGCTCACTGCAGCCTTAACCTCTTGGGCTCAAAGCATCCTCCTGCCTCAGCCTCCTGAATAGCTGCATCTACAGGTGTGCACCACCATGCCTGGCTAGTCTCCTACTTCTGATGACTGCATGATGGTTATTATGTGAGATGTTCAGGCTAGGGGACACTGAGTGACCAGTGCACTTTGGCTGCATGCCTAAAATAATCCCCAAACCAGAAACGACACACACACATGTACATACACGTGCACAGGCCTATATGCATGCACATGTACACGTTTTGGACAATACACACAAACGCGCACATCTGTACACGTGTGTGCTTGTGTATGCATGTGGTTGTATATGGCTGAAGAACTAGAAGGCCCCTCTCCTGCGTATCGAGTTTCTCCTTTCCTGGTGGAAGCCCGGCTGGCGGGGAGAGGGGAAGGGGACGGGATGGACAGCAGGACATGCAGCACCCACTGGCTGGGCAAGGGCCAGGCCTCACAGCCCCATCCCGGGGCGGCCTCTCCCCCAGGCATCCCGACTTTTCACCCCAGCTGCACAACAGCACTGAGGTGACACATGGTGCAGTGACTCACGGTTGGGTGCACCTCTCCCGGCCAGCTCGGTTCCCGGTGGGTAAGCCGGGTCCTCCTAAGGAGGCTAAGGGGGCACACGTGTCTGAGGCAGCCCTGCCACCACCGGCCCAGTCCCCCACCCTCAAGCACATGGCAGGTGGTCCAAGGTCATCTGCAACCCGACGCTTGACCACCAAAGCCAGTTCCCAAGTATAACAAAGACGCCTGCCTGGGAGCTGTGAGACAACAGGCCAACGACCAGCCAGGCCAGGAGGCTGTGGCCAGGTCACAAGACAAGGAAGGGTGTGCTTGGGCAGGGGCTGCAGGGTAAGGACGCAGCACACAAGGTTCCCAGAGAGTGTCCATGGGGACAGATGGCGCTGGCAGGCCACAGAAGCCACAGCATCACCCTCTGGACAGGGTGGAGGGTACCAACAGGCCACAGAAGTCATGGGATCACCCCCTGGACAGGGCAGATGGCACCAGACCACAGAAGCCACATCATTGTCCGCTGGATAGGGTGGACGGCACTAGAAGTCCACAGAAGCCACAACTTCACATTCGGAACAGGGTGGATGGTGCCGACAGGCCACAGGAGCCGCAGCACCATCCCATGGACAGGACAGGTGGCATCAGAAGGCCACAGAAGCCATGGCATCAGTCCCTGGATAGGGCAGATAGCACTGGAAAGTTGCAAAAGCCACAGCATTGCCCCCTGGACAAGGTGGATAGCACCAGCAGACCACAGAAGCCATGGCATCACCTCTTGGACAGGGCAGATGGCACCGGCAGGCCATAGACGCTACAGCATTGCCCCCTGAACAAGGTAGATAGCACTGGCAGGTTACAGAAGCCACGATATCACACCCTAAACAGGATGGATGGTGCTGACAGGCCACAGAAGCCACAGCATCACCCCCTGGACAGGGTAGATGGTGCCAGCAGGCCATAGAAACCACGACATCATCCCCTGGATAGAACAGATGGTGCCAACAGGCCACAGAAGCCACAATATCACCCCCTGGACAGGGTGGATGGTACCAGCATACCACAGAAGCCATGACATCACCCCTGGACAAGGTAGATGGTGCCAACAGGCCACAGAAGCCATGAAATCACCCCCTAGATAAGGCAAATGGTGCCTGGCAGGCCACAGAACCCACAGCATTGACTCCTGGATAGGGCAGATGGCACAGGTTGGCCACAAGAAGCTATGGCATCACCGCCTGGATAGGGCAGATAGCATCGGAAGGCTGCAAAAGTTACAGCATTGCCCCTAGACAAGGTGGTAGCACCAGCAGACCACAGAAGCCATGGCATCACTTCCTGGACAGGGCAGATGGCAGGCCACAGAAGCTACAGCATTGCCCCTGGACAAGGCAGATGGCACCCAGTAGGCCACAGAAGCCATGAAAGCACCCCTTGGTTAGGGTAGATGGTGCTTAGCAGGCCATAGAAGCCACAACATCATCTCTGGACAGGGTGGATGGTGCCGGCAAGAACAGAAGCCATAGCATTGCCCCCTGGACACAGTGGATGGCGCCAACAGGCCACAGATGCCACAGCATCACCCCGGCAAGGTGGATGGTGCCGGCAAGCCACAGAAGCCCTGACACTGCCCCTGGACGAGTCCTGAGCACCTGTCAAGGCCTATCTACTGGGAGGTTAACTCGTCCATGGGGAATGTTGGGAGGCTGCACTGGCTCCTGGATGGTGGTGGCTGACACGCACAAGAGGTGTTGGGTCCAGAAGCGTGGGACAGACAAAGGGGGTGGCCGGTACAGGGGCGCAAACACAGCGATGAGGCCACAGACCCCTTCCACAGGCCCATGAGGCTGGTGCAGCGACCGTGGCTCTGCCTGCGATGGGGAATGGGAGGAATCAGGTGGAAATGATGCAGCAAGCTCCACCCACAGGCCCGGGGGCCCATCTCAAACCCAGGGCCGCGACTTCCCCGGGGTCCTGAAGTCCCCGGAGCTCCCCCATCCCAGAGCTCCCCCAGTCCTGCTGGGACCCAGCTTCTCCTCCCGTGCCATGGCCACCCGCCTGCCTCCCTTGTGCTCTGAGCCTCTGCCTAGAAACCCTCCAGACGCAGACCCCAGCGTCTGTGTGGACTGGACCACGGGGACAGCTGGGAGGGAAGCCGGCCTTTCCCACACTCCCGGCCTGCCCCAATCCCATGTGGAGAACATTCCCTGGGGTGCAGGCTACCCGCCCCTTCCTCTGTGGGTCGCCTTGGGGAAGGTGGTGTCCTGCTCAATGAGGTGGCCAGACGGAGGCGGGAAAGGCAAGGACACACGGGACAGTGACCCGTGGGCCCCCAGGTAGCTTGAGGCCTCTCTGCACGGTTGGGATGTCTATCTCATTTACAAACCGGGAACACGTGACACGGGTGAAGCTCCAATGAACATGAGGGCGTGACTGTTCTGTGCTCAGAAAGATGCTGACTCTGCCACTCCCTGCTCTTGTTGGGGCCTCTGAAGGCTTTCACAACAGAAGCAACGAAAACAAAAGCCTGTCTCTCACAGTCCAGGATGGACAGCGTGTGGCAACCTGACTCAGCAGCAGGAAGTGCGCAACCTCGGAGGAGACAGAGATCACAGCCTTTTATTTTATTTTTTGCTATAAATAATCTCACTGGGAAATGGGGTGAAACTTGAGGCCCGTGGATGCGTGAGCCTGGGAAGACGGAGGTAGCAGGCCCCAGCACTGGAGGAGGAGCGGGGAGAGGGACAGCTTCACGGGGGAGGCTGGCCTGGGGCCACCGTCCAGGGTATCTACAACCCCCTGGGACCACACCCAACGTCGGGTCACAAGGCCAGAGCCAGACCCCCATGCCGAGTCCATTCGGGAGTGGAAGTCGGCCTGCTGGGATCCACACCTGCAAGCAAATCGCCTGCCGGGGGAGCCTGGAGTAGGAGTGGGCTCTAAGCTGGGGGAAGGAGAGACCCCCGGATGACTCCTCGGTAGTAAGACAATGGCCAACTCCTGAAACAATGCCCTCTGACCACGCACATCGTCCACAGGGAACATCCCACACTGAGAAAAGCCAAGAAACGGATCGGAATCTACATCAAAGTTTAAACCCTCTCTATGACAAAAGAAATCATGAACAGAGACGGGCAAGGAGCCATGTTGTCATCCCCGATCCCTGGGGGCACGCCCCAAGGCCCCTGTGGATGCCCTAAGCCACGGATGGCAGCAAGCCTGCACATCAGGTTTCTTTGACCTGATAACCAAGATGGCTACTCAGTGACTGACAGGTAGGTGGTATAGATGGTGTGGACAGGCCGGATGAGGCTCCTGTCCCAGGCGGGATGGCGTGAGGTCTCCTCACGCTCCTCATGATGGCACACAACTCAAAATGCATGAATTGCTTATTTCTGGAACTTTCCATTTGAGATTTTTGAATTGCAGTTGACTGTGGGTCACAGAAACCACGGAAAGTGAGACCACGGACGAGGGGGCCGACTGGGTAACAAGGAACACGAGAAGACTTCATGGCAACCCAGGCCCCGCCCCGTGCTGGGCGGTGTCAGTCCTCACGGCTGCGCCTCCCTGCCTTGGCAAACGGGGAGACCAAGGCAGAGCGTGGCTGAGTCCCTGCCCAGGGCCACACAGCCACATGGGGAGAGGAGAACACAGATGTCCACTCCAAGAGCTGGAGGGGGACTGAGACTAGACGCAGCTGTGCCCACGGCTGGACAGATGTCACAGCCAGGAATGTTTTTGCTAGAGACAACATATCGGGAAACACAAGGTCTGCAAATTAGGTGACAGCGCCGTATCACCACTTATCTCCAGAACCGGGATGATGTAAGAGAATGTCCTTGTTCTCAGGAAACACGCCAGGTGTCCAGGGAGGAGGGGCAGTGAGCCTGGAACTGACCCTTAGTGCCTCAGAGAGAAATCGTAGGTAAAATCGCATATAAGACATTAGATATAAGTTATATATATTTTACAAGGCT